TGTTACATTCAATTAAGTTTATTAAAGCGAATATAATATCTATAAAAGTCTAATTTTATACTTACTTTTAACTAAAAATGTTTACAACATATAATTCAATTTGATTGAATACGTCAAGAGAGAGAGAGAGAAAGGTTGAGTTTAATTGATCCATCGATTGTTGTTAAGACTATGATAATCAATATGTATGTCTGTGTGGGCACAGGTATGGCACCGATGGAGAGTGTGAAGAGGAAACTCGACGATTACGGACACCTGAGGTTTGGCCGCAACGATCCTAACATGCAATCCGCTGATGGACTCAACTCACGAGTCAAATACAATGATCCCGATTACGGACACATGAGATTCGGTTGATCTCGACGCCTATTACTAACTATTTATTTATAATTAGTTTGTAATCGTCTTATAAATCAGATACATATCTAACTCATTGATAGTAATAACAACTAAAACACAATAATAAGCTGTAAACTAATGTTTATATTTATTTATTCATTACTCGAATAAAGAAAAAGAATTTAAATTATTATTCATATAATAATCGTTTTGTTTCACTGAATATGACTTGTAATTGAAATTATGAAATAAACGCTAAGAATAAGACATTTTTGTGTCTTATTTTGTATTACTTGTACTTTTAATCATTAAACGACTACTCAGTTTGTATCTAATGATTATAAAATAAGTTGAATAAAAAATATTTGAACACAATTTTGAAGCCTAAGACTGTATCCCGTTATCTAGTGACCAACTCATGGTATGGTAGGACCTAATTGTGGTGACAATAATTAGACACTGGTTTTGCTTAGCAGTGAAGTGTGCGTTCAGTGACTGATAGCACGCACTGTAAGCGACTGTAAATATGCAGTGAATTGGAGTCAACACTAACTGTAAGACTAAACACACATTCAATTGATTATAGTTGTCGTCAACTCTTCAGTGAACCAAACAATGGGTGATATCAGCGATACCACGGACCCAAAGAAGACACAAATGGACAACAAATACAAGATATTGCAGGCGTTTGAGCTGAAAGTGAAGGAAATGGTGGACAGCCAACAGATCCAAGAGGTGGTGATGATTGACAACGAGTGGTGTGATTATGCCGTGAATTATCATTTGTTTGCACAGAATCTGATCACTGGTCTGAAGAATAGTCTGAACGACGCCCTCAATGACAGGCAAAGAGTGGAACAGTTGTACGAATCGGAGGCCGAGAAGTGTCGCCAATTGGCGGACGCGTTGACCGCCAAAGACAGTGAGACGAAGATAGCGATCGAGACGCAGGCCATTGAATGGCGCGAACAGAAGGCTCTGATGGAGAATCAGTTGCAACGACTCCACCAACAGGTGAACGACCAGAAGTCGCAGACGAGTTCACTGCAGATGAAGTGCTCGCTCGCCGACCAGACCATCGCTCACAAGGAAAATGAGTTACAAAAGCAAAACGCGTTGAAGGCGTCCATCGGCTCAGAGATCAGTGGATTGCGAGACACAGCGACCACTCTTCGCAATGATGTCAATGGTTTGGCCGCAAATCAGACACAACTCAAGGAATTAAGTATTGTTTCAATGGTTTGTGTGTGAATTGTGCGCTAATTATGAGTTTATAATTGTATTGAATGTAAAGTTCAATCGGAAAGCGATGTGAATTCAGATCTGAAGAAGCGATTGAAGCAAAGAGAGAGTCAATTGGCGACCATTCAGGCGAAGAACAGTTCACTCGACGAACAATTGTCTGAATTGAGAGCCAAATTGAAAGCTAATAGCGATCTGATGTACGAGAAGGACGTGCAGGCCTTGCGATTGGTCCAGAAAAATGAATTGGTATTCAATTTGGATCTCATTTTTTTGTGGTGTCTTTGTGTCACCATTTGTTTAATGAGTTCTTATGTTTGCAATCATATAAAGCAAAAGCAAGCGATCGATGACTTGAGGGAACAGTTGCAGCAATTGATGGCTGAAAATGAAAGTCTCACCAAAAGGTTGACGCAAACTAATATCGTTTCGTTTAATTTGTTTGACACTAAGGATGAGGAATCATATGCTGAAGAAGTGCTTCCATCGCAGACTGATGAGCAAAATGTGTCCAATAAATAAGTTTTCTCGTAGTTTATAGTGATTTGTATCCATTATTTTCATTGTTTCTTACGTTACGCTGTCTTTTGTTAACAGTTTTCTAAATTGTCTTTCATTTACAGCAATATTTCATTTAATGTACCGTTAATTGGATTAATAGATTTAATAAAATAATTTTTTAACTATTAAACTAGTTCAGTGATAAAGCTGCTGGCTAACTAATTTTCTGATGATCGGAAGTCATAATCTAATCCCTTTCCCATACCTATCCCAATATAAATGTTCATAAAATTGTATTCATGTCGGGATCGGGTATTAGCACAAACATGGGATGAAAAATACTAGTGAAATACGTCTATTAAGTTAGATATAATAATACAGTATAACGAATGATAAAACATTGATATTGATATAATGTTAATTAATAAGTTGCTCCTAATTAACTATTAATGACATTGAACTGGTAGCTATACTGTAGTACTGTTACGTTTATTAATTAGCTCTATTAAGTTATTACTATTATTATGTCAATTATTATTATGTCATGAACATTTGATGGTGTAAGAGATGTACTGATTATATGAACTCAATTCCAGACAATAGACACTATTATTTGCCATATTATGCATGTATTCTTTAATTATTAAATCTAATTGATTAAATTTAGTAAGAAATGAAATTATGAAATTGAAATGATATATTTAGGTAAAATATAGTGAAATTGTTGAAAAAATGTTGCTAAAAAGTGATGTAA